TCATCACCGATTTGAGCTTACTGTTTCCTCAATTTAGGCCTGAGAAAATTATGGCCAGTTATTCATTCTCTAATTAACCTAAAAGTGAACTATATTTCATTGCTTGTAGGATGGTATGGGAAATCTGAGAGTCACCAAGAAGGGAATCCGACTTGAAGGTATATCTGAGTTTCTACTTCCATTGTATGTGAAAGAAATTCATTCCCGAAAGGTATGTGATACTGGCTTTGGCTTACTGTAAAAGATAATTTAGAGGTTATGTTTTAGCGTGAAATAGGAGGACATCACCCCCTTATCTCTTCAGTATGCACTTAGTCACTTTAAGCTAAAGACTTATTTCAAGAAATCAAAACAATGAAACATTTGAAAAACCAGTAGAGAAGATTAGTTTCAGAGTGACAAATTAGAGAGCCTTTTTGAATTCAACTGAAGTGTTGCTTCTGTTAGTCTATAAAATATGCCTCTTTGTTTTTAATGGACGTTAAAAATCCACTGTTATATTAATTCCAAAAGGGGCATTTGATATATTTTGAGTAATTTTTGCAAGAGTTTTTCTTGAATAAATTATTTTAATTCAATATATTATACATCTTTTCAACTTTAATGGATATGCATTTTCTAAAAGAGATGACAAAAAGTTTAGTACAGAAATTAAATTTATTTCTGGATGTACATTATTTAAAACCATTAAGAATATTTATTCTTTCAAATTGTGTGTGTGTGTGTGTGTATGTGTGTGTGTGTGTTGCTTATGTGTTTTGTATCATCAGCAGCATGCTAAAAGTCAAAAGATTATAGCTTAGAATTGTTTATTTTGGCTTAAGTGTGTTATTTCTCAGAAGGTAATAAGTATTCTCTGGTGCTTCAAAATCAAACTAGTATGGTTCAAATATAATAATAGGCTTTCCCCTGGGAAATGTGTGTATGTGTGCAATAAATTCAGTAAAATAAAAAATTAGAAAGCTTGTTGTATAAAATGTGGAAAGATTATTAACCGTATTTCATTGACATGAAAGTCTATTTTAGACTAAAATAATGTTTGAATAGTACCAATATAATATATTAGCAAATGAGTTGTGTAGTGAGCCAAAATTTTATAATTTGCTTCAAGGTTATTTTTACCTTAAATATCAAAGTGAACACAGAGCAGAGGATTCTTGTTCATGAACACTCTAAGTTTAAATTTTATTTTTTTATGAGTGAACCTATCTGATATACTATACTAACTACTACTCTGGGTGCTGGAAATTTTGTATTAAGATTACTGTACTTTCTGGATTTTGGTCAGAGAATAAACAATGCAGTAGACACATGTATGAACACCTGAGCCTACATGATTAACCTATCAGAACTAATTAAACAAAAAAATTTTTTAAGTTTACATGATCTTTTTATTGACTTGATTGTTAGGAATACTGAAAAAATAGCATGCTTACACATATCTTCCCTCTGATTGGAAGGCACCACCACTCAGTTATTCACTGATTCCTTCTTGGTTTTGGCCCTATTAAACAGTTTTATATTTGAAGAAATGAAAACTTAACATGGAAATCAAAATAGTACTTAACACAGGAAGAAGATGAGAGTCATCATAGGCAGGAACCTCTTCAAAATGCATCCTATGGATAAGCCCAGAACAGCAAAAAACAGATGTATCTTCAGAGCCATTTTAGAACAATTTGGATCAGCTTCCTGGGAATAGGGTTTAGAGGATTGTGAAGCCCTCTGTTAGTAGGAAGGTCATAGAATTTGCCTTCCCAGCTGGAACGTTTTTGAGAGTATAGCAACAAGGTGTAAACGAGGATTCTCCTGAGAAACGGGGAAGTATGTTCACTCCATCTATAGACCAAATAAGAAAGAATTCACTGATGTTATTCAAGTGTTAGGTGGTGGCAGGTGAGCTTTCTAAACTTATCCCTGGGAAAATTCACAAGCCTTTCTAAAACCCACCGTATTGATTGGAATCTGTATGCTCCCTTTCACATCCCCAGCCCTGTGCCTGTTCTAACCGCGTCTCCTCTCATTTGCCTCTCAGTACCTGCAAAGCGTGGTACAGCCTAGGCAGGTGGGAGCATGTTCCATCAGCAGTCAGACGGGAGGTCTGGTTAGAGAGCAGAGAAAGAAGGAGGTTTATTTGCTTCTTGAAAATGTTTCTACACATATGCCACAAAAATAAATATTTTAAATAAAGAGAAAAATGTGTCTTTTCTTAGCAGTCCCTATGTTAGGATTCTGTAGTCCATGAATGCTGGCAGTTGTTTATTCTCTGCCACAAAGCTCATTTGCTGTTCTAAAAAGCCAGCCACAATTTTCCTGAGCCTTAATTTTTTCATTAATAAAGTGAATTTGGTAGAAACTTGTCAAAACACTTTATTCTTAGTTTAAGAAAGAACACGCAAATTTCAGTAATACTAGTAGAGTGAGATTTTACATTATTTTTTAATTCCATTATACATTTCAGTCTTTCCACATATATTCATATACTCAAATTTTTTTAGGATCAAATGTCAGAGTTCCTGTAGGTAAGATAAGGAAATCTACTAAATTTGAAAGGTACTTATAAAGATTCAATTAAGCTGAGAAAAACAGTAGAGTACAACAATTTTAATTTATGCAGATATTTTCCCTGCAATTTTGATTTGTGTATATGTTTACGTGTGTGTGTTTGTGTGTGTGTTTTCCTGCACAAATATCAGTGGGTTGCCTTCTTTACATTTAGCCAGCATTCCACTCTGAAATAAAAAATTTTCTTATTTAAAATTATTTTCTGGTTACATAGGTATTTAATCCTATACATGGAAAGGTATCAATGTCTATTGGTCAGAAAATGCGGTTGCCTAGACACACATATCGAGTCTCCTAACTTAATAAATCACGGACTGTTTCTACCCTACAAGCTAACTGGCCCCTTACCCCACCACCAAATTTCTGTAGATATCTGAAGTTCTGTTATTTTCCAATACAGTTTGCTCTCTTCTTCATGCTTTAAAAAAAATCAGACTTTTTCAGTGGTCCATTGTATCAGCACACAAAAAACATATTCTGTGTTTAAAATATCTTAGAATTTAATGTATCTTCAAAATTAACTTTATTTTCAGACAGTTAATCACTGAACATTTGTAAAGTTAAATATATAGTTTTTTTTAGATAGAAAAAATTGAAGAACATGGAATTGAGGCTACATTTTCTATATATTATAACATTCTGAATGAGTCTTTAATACATGTGGTCTAACATTAGGTTAAAGTATTTGAAATATCTGGTAGTTAACACTTATAATCGCTGTTTTTTTAATGTAATTAAAATGTTTCTCAGGGTTTCATGAGTTCAGAGTATTTAAGGTGGTTACATTATCTACATTTCACCAATTCTTACTGGAAAAAATTGCATCATGAGTTCTCTAAAACTACTTTAAGTATTATCTAACTTAATCTGATATTAGCTGAGCAACTCTCTCTCTCTTTTTTTTTTTAATTCTTCTCAAGAATCCTTAGGTAAGGTGGTATGTCATCACTTCCTCCCCATCCTAGCATCCTATATGATAGAGTATTAATTGTGCCAGGGAATTATGACCAGATAATTCCAGTTCTAGTAACTCTGCAGATAGCAAAGATGTTTACATTCTCTAGGATTCTTGTATTGGCAGAGCTGTGAGGAAAGTTCTGCCCTCCTTTTACTTCCAGTCATTTCACTTGGCTTCAAAGCTGTAATGCTGTCTTCTTGGTTAAAATCAGTTTTTCACCTCCTGTGTTCAATTCTTCTTTATAGAGTTCAGGTACAAAGCTACAGAGCCAGGGAAGTTCAGCAAACCTCTTTCCTAGTTACACAATGTGATTATCTCCTGCCCCGTGTCCTTCAGCTACCTGGGCAAATCTCCTCTACACAGGTTTCTTTCTCCCATGCAAACCAATCCATGCACATAGATACCTGCAGTCTTCTATAATCATTTTATTATCATTATCACTTCACATTCAGATGTTAAATACTGATGAAGTTTATTCTTTTACTGTAATGTCTTTAAGTTAAAACACACACATACACACAAATCATTCCAAAATCTTAGGAAAAACAACTTAGCATAAGGTGAACATCATGACAGTTATATAAGTATACATCTGCACAAATGAAAAGGTAATGATTTAAGGAGACATGTACCTGCTAAATACCATTAGTATATTATACATAGTTAAATAGAAGAAACATAAACTGAAATAAATTGGAAAGAATTGCTGACCTTAAATATTTCTTTACCATAAGAATGCTTTTTCAAACTTGTCTTTATGGTTAAGAATGAAAGGTTATGAATACTGTTAGGAAGCTGGACACATTAGTTCCATGTTTTAATTTCAGACAGTGTTCATTAACTCCCTGCAGAGCAATTTGAGGTGATTAGCTTTGCTCCAATTTGTCCTCCCCCTCTTCATTTTGAGGTTTTGTTTTTTTTTTTGATAATCATGTTATTTAACTTTGTCAGAGTTCATAATATTTACATTCTGTTCTGTAACTTTAATTGCCTTGGCACTTTGGTCTTAATTCTACCTACAGATGTCTGCCTTTCTCACCACAAGTCCTCCTTTTAGTATGGATTCTCCAGGACTGAGTTCATTATTCATAGCATTCCTTCCTTGCTTGTATGTCTTTGTTAATTAGTTTTCTTTGTTTGTTTGCTGATCCTTGAAACATTTCATGCTAAAGCTGTCTGTTGTCTTTATTCTTTTCTGGAATGTTGTTAATGGTTCATCCCTTCTTTTCCTGTTATCTCATTGCCCGATTAAATTCTAGCACTGAGTATTACCATAAAAAGTATCAGGACACCCTGGTATTTTTCTCCTGCTGATGACAAGCACAGTCTGCCTGGATGCCTGATAACATTTTTGCCACCTCACTTCTTTCATTTTAGGGACATGTTCTGTATTGTATCACTCAGTGTCTTTTAGTTTCATTCACTGAGGTCTTCAGAGAGAGCAATAATTCTTATGTTGGATCTTCTTTGTCCTCCACAGCAATCATAATTTCTCTAATTATGTTAAACTTTATATGTTTCCTCTGAATGCAAGGAAGTTATTATCTAGAGCCTTTCTCCTATTTCTGCCATTAGTTTATTTTTCTCCATGTGAATTTTTGTCCTTGCTCTAATTCATGTATTTTATGTATAAGGGTATTTATCAGAATTTCCCTTAGGTCTACAGTCTCCTTTTAAATCTTATTAGG